CTAGCACTGCACTCTCCTGGACAGAGAGCTCTGGTGATGTCCCTGGGATCTGTTGGAGCCACTCTCCCAGCTTAGGAGTCACAGCCCTGAGTGCTCCTACCACTACTGGGACCACTTTGGCCTTTACTTTTTACATCCTTTCTAGTTCCTCCTTCAGGCCCTGGTACTTCTCCAGCTTCTCATACTCCTTCTTCCTCTGTTGCTGTCACTTGGCACTGCTACATCAATCACCATCACTGTCTTCTGGTCCTTGTCTACTGCCAAAGTGTCTGGTTGATTGGCCAATACCTACTTGCCTGCCTGTCTGGATCTGGAAGTTCTATAGGATCTTAGCCCTGTTATTCTCCATGACTTTCTATGGAATCTCCCATCTGGACTTGGGAGAGTCCAGCCCATACATTGTACAGATGTTCCTGTACACAATGCCAGCTACTTGGTTGTGCAGTTCAGTGCATGCTATTCCTGCCTGCATCATACACTCTGCCACCATATGTTGGATTGTCTCTGAGGCCTCTCTGCACAGTCTGCACCTTGGGTCCTGTCTAGTGTGGTAGACCCCTGCTTCTATGGAACTGGTGCTTAGTGCCTGTTCTTGTGCTGGTATGATCAGTGCCTTAGTGCTGTCTTTTAGTCCAGCCCTTTCTAGCCACTGGTAGGATTTCCCAGGGTCAGCCACCACAGGTATCTGGCAATGGTACATCCCATGCAGGGGCTTCTCTTGCTGTAGCACTTCCTCTGCTTGAACTTCCTCCTATGACTGCTGCTGCCTCAGACATTTTCTCAGCAGCTCATATTTAGGTGCCATGTTACTGATGTACTCCTGGATGCTCTGGGTTTCGTTGAGGACAGTGGCTTTGACACTCATCAGAGTGTTGGACTTGGGGTGGAAACCTCCGTCCATTGTGAGGAGTTTCCAGGTCTTCACATCGGCAGCCTCCATGTGTTCCTTTGGCCAGCTGACTATTCTGGCAGGTATTTGATGACTGTCAGCTGTATATGTTGATGGCGTGGATCTTGTTCTTCCCATTGAGCTGGCTCTTCAGGACCTGTCTTATCCTTTGGTGGTACTTGGATGTTGCTGTCTTTCTTGCCTGTTATATATATTTTTTTCTGAAACACAGTTCCTAACATTCAGACAAAGCTTCTGCAAAGTCCCCTCAGGACTATATAGATATAGATGATAGATATAGATATACATATAGTTATAGATATAGATGTAGATGTGGATATAGATATACAGTAGATGTATTCACACCATCCTCTCAGAAGAATATTTTTATCTCCTTTTCCTGGCTTGCAAAAGATCCATTAAAAACTAACTAAATTGGATTTGCTTTTTTATAAGTCTTCAGTGTAGTGTAGTGGCTAGGACTGGTGAGACCAAGGCTCGGGTCCACCTCCAGTTGGGCAAATTCCCTGAGTGATTTTAGGCCAGTCACACTCCTAGCCCCACCTACTCTCCACATTTGTTTCGAAGCTAAAATGAAGTGATAGCTGTTTCCCCCATCACACACTTCTGAAGAAAAGACAGGATGTAAATGCAACAAACAACCAATCAAATAAAATATTTAAAAATAGGTTTAGGCAATGATTCAACTTTGCCATCCTTGTACAATGAGCTTAGCATATATTTCTCTCTCTCTCTCTCTCTCTTTTAATATTGTAGATTTCACGAATAATTCGGACAGCATGTGGAAATGCTTTACTTGTAGGAGTTGGTGGTTCTGGAAAACAGAGTCTTTCGAGGCTTGCCTCTTTTATAGCTGGATACAAAATATTTCAGATAACTTTAACAAGGTCAGAAACATGTACCTTACTAAGAATAATTTTGAGCTTCCATGCAGGACTAGAAGCCCCTATTTGTGATGAAGGTAGACTGTGCGTATTCATGTGTATATAGAGCCACTGTTACAATATGAATGATTACATGCTCAACTGTTTAGCCACATTTAAACCAAATACTAAATAAAATGGCATTACTGAGGAATGAATGTCTAGGCATGTGGAGTAATTGTTGTCCTGTCCTGTGGTTACAATAGATCTTTTCAAATGGCACATGGCATGACACTTGGAAAAGGCTAGGCATGATGGGAAGTTCCTTCTCAGGTGGCCTAGTAAGAGAGGATAGGGCTTACAGCAGGAAGAGGGGTTCTTCCCTCCCTTTCCGTCCCTTCCTTTATTTTATTTTTAATTAATTTTCAAAGCTGGCACCTTGGGCTTTAACAGCAGCAGAGGTCTAACTGCTGTTGCTACTGCCATCTGAAAAGGAAGAATGTTGGTGGGCAGAATTTTGTTGAGTGGGTGAGGAAAGATGGCAGAACCTTTAGCTTTAAATTGTGTGAAATAACAAGGGAGTGAGAAGTTGCACACTGCTTGCTTGCAGCCCCTAACTGTACCTATTTTCATTTGCTACCTGCTGAACTTGATTGTTTTAAAAATCAAGGAATCCCTGATCAAGTGAAGATATTCTTCCTCATTACTGACCAAATGAAGAAATAATAGTTGGCTAGTATAAAAATGGTGGTGGTGGTGCCACTGAAAATAATAATAATAATAATAATAATAATAATAATAATAATAGATACAAATAGGAAATCCAGTCTAAAACATTTGGCTAACTGTATGACCAACCATAATAATGTAAGATTTGTATTAAATGAAAATGCTTATATACCATCTATTGATAAACAGAAAATCAATTTCATTGTGATGGCTATCATATTAAACTAACGAATAAATGATTTTTTTTTCTTGAATTATTTTAATTGTATTGGTACTTTGCATATGATTAATTTTTACTGGCATCCCTATCAGTCAGAAAAATTATTACATTTTAAATTGATCATATCAGTATGATTATTGATTGATAATACTAGGATCTGGCATATACTCTGAGGCTATGCTACAGGATTAAGTGTTGCAAAGCATCAGTGAAACAATGGAGTCATTGGATGCAAGTTACATTTCAAAAGGAATGCTATTATAACTGTATTGGTTCACAGCTGATTCATGCTGGCATTGATTCTAATTTATAGAAGGATAACCCTAGTTTCTTTTAAGCTAGTGAAAACATTTTGCATAAAAATATCCTGGATCCAAGTTTAATTTGAAATTTGGCATATTTTTAACATATAGTACAATTCCACATCCCTCTTTTTGTTTTGATTCCTTTTGAACAAATTATATCTTTCAGTTGTTGTATTCCAATCATGGGAGTCATCCCAACCAGGTGTCCTTAGTACCTATTAAATCAGATGTGCCTTTAACAGCTTAAACTCATTTTGTTTCTTTCCCACACTTTGAACAATAATATATGGGCAACAAAGGCATGAACTTTATGAACCAATACTTTTTCTGATTTTTCCATGAGTAGTTTCAGAAGTCCCATTTCTGCAACACTACCACTAAATTATGCAACGCAATTTTTTAAGGGATATAAGTCCTAAAGGGAACATTTCTGATTGCATATGGATGTCTTCCCACTTTCCACCCCTGCTGTACTGACTTCACTAATATTTGTTAAATGTATAGGTGAGGAATTTGTTCTGCAGGTTAAGTTTGCTTGTTGATTTGTTTTCTCCTTTCAGGTCCTACAATGTGACCAATCTAACAGATGACCTAAAGAACTTATACAGAGTTGCTGGTGCTGAAGGAAAAGGAATCACATTCATTTTCACAGATAATGAAATAAAAGATGAGGCATTTCTTGAATATCTTAATAATCTGCTTTCTTCTGGAGAGGTTAGAATTTCAGATCACTACAGATGTTGCTGTTATTATGCTGATTATTACATAGATGAGCCTCAATTTGATTTAGACCCTGATTCGATGATTCATAAAATAGCCGAATTTCACCTCTGAAGCACTTTCAAAGCTGCCCAGTTTTATTCAAAAACTAATTTCATGTATTAGTTTGAAAATCTGAAACTTCATTTGTTCATTGACAGTAATCTGAAGCATAAACTGGTATAACTTTTTTTCCTGAAAAGAAATTCATTTGGAAGCAATAGCCCTGTATAGGGGAATGAAACCTGGCAAATTTGAGATAAATAAATGCAAGGGGTTAGCATTAGGCATCTTTAGCTAGCCAGTCAAGCCAGCCAGTTTGTACAAAGGAAACTATATATGATTTACAGCTTGGGAGTAAAAAGTGCACTTATCCCTTTTTTTTTTTTTGGTCAGCAATTCTTATGAAAATCGTTATGAGATACAGCATAGACCTCAGATGTTCTCTAACTCAGTAGAGTACATTTGGCATCCCATGATATTATTATTTATTTAACATCCAATAAAGCTAATAACATTTTTAGAATGTTCAACATTTTAAACTAGCTGTTTGCATCTGAAAGAATAAAATCACAAATACAAAAGACAAAGTGCAATGTTTTGAATATCTGTGTTTGGTTATTTGCTGGCATAATTTTTTATAAAATACATTGGTGAGCTTCAGTTACCTATGAATTATAAATTGAAGTGGGTAACCCCTGAATTCGGAGAGTCTTGGAATCTATAACTTAAAAACTGTGGTATTTTAATTACATTCATAAATGTTCTTTTTTCTGTATTTTTTACTTTTTCCAATAAGATCTCCAATTTATTTCCTCGAGATGAAATTGATGAAATTACTCAAGGACTTATATCTGTAATGAAAAAAGAGCTGCCACGAGTTCCTCCGACTTTTGATAATCTTTATGAGTATTTTATATCACGGTCAAAGAAAAACCTCCATGTTGTCCTCTGCTTTTCTCCCGTGAGTTTCCTTTAAATATATACATATACATAATTCCATTGTGTTTATTATGATCTTTTTGTCATTCTAAATTAATGAGAAATTCTAACAATGTAAAAGAAAGTTTTTAAAGTAACAGTTCCAAAGAAATCTTGATTATCCTGCAAGTTTAATTCTGCAGTCGTTTTTGTGGGAATGTTTCTACTAAGTTAAACTAGATGGTCCTGTTGTGTATATACAGTACACTATAAAACTGGGATATCCAGCCCAATTCTATGCATGCTACTTGGGAGTAAGTACCACTAAAGTTCAGGAGTTGCTTTCTTAGAAGTACAAATAATGTTTCAGACCTACTGTACTCTCTTAATTTTTTCACAGACCTAGATATACCATGGCATTTATGTATTATGGCAGTGCTCAACATAAATCTGCATTTTAAAAAAGCATCTACTTATAAACATTGTTAGACTAATGTTCCTCATATTCTGTTCCTCTCTTAAATGATTTAATCATCAATTACTGTTTGTTATAATTAACAGCTTATATTCTAAAATATTTTACATTAAAATATGAAAGATTTCAATATCATAGGAGTCTTTTTTCTCCTCTCCCCAATGATATTTATGATATTACAGATTTGTACAGATTGGTTCATATTTATGCTAAGCAATAATGTGATTTCCTTGGTATGTTATATGAACTCAGCTAATATGAATATTACTAATGTTTTATGAATTAACATGTTCCTTATTGTGGTTAATCCATATGTTTAGCACAATGTGTAAACCTAGATTGTGTGTGCACAATCCGAGCTTTTTCATACATGTAACAATTGCACTGGAAGCTGTGTATAAGTCAGGCAGCATACAAGTTTAAATCATCATCATCTGCTATATTTCCCATAAATACATTTTGTAGATATGTCACTTTTTGTCTATTTCTTATTTTTGTTAGGTTGGTGAGAAATTTCGTGCACGATCTTTGAAGTTTCCTGGTCTTATATCTGGCTGTACCATGGATTGGTTTACTCAGTGGCCCAAGGAAGCCCTTGTGGCTGTATCACAGTATTTTCTGTCAGGTTTTAATATTGTCTGTTCTCCTGAAGTCAAAGCACATGTGGTAGAAACTATGGGCATCTTTCATGATCTAGTTTCAGAAAGCTGTGACAATTATTTTCAAAGGTAGGGGTTAAACATATATAATTCTGTAATAACTGTTTTAAAAACAGATGGTTTTATATACATAAAAGTCATTTTCCCATTTAGCCTAGTCATGATGTCATAGAATTATAAATTTGAAACAGTCTTGGAGGTTGTCTAATCCAACTCCTAACCAGGGCAGGATCTACTATAAAATCTCTGATAGATGACTGTCTAGTTTCTGTTTGAAGACCTCTAGTGAAAGAAAATTCACCATGTCACATGGCAGTCTTTTCCACTAGCTGAGAGCTCATATAGTTAGTAGGTTCTTCCTGATGTTAACTCTGAACAGCTTTCCCAATTTTGTTCTCATTTTGTTTTCTGGAGCAATAGAAAATAATTCCACTCCCTCTTCTATGTCACAGTCCTTCAGATTTTTGAAGACTGCTGTCATGTCTCCTCTCAGGCATCCTTTCTGTAAGCTGAACATACTTAGATCCTTTAACCATTCCTCACCATCTTGATAGTCCCTTGTTTGAACTTGCTCCAATCTGTCAGTGTCCTTTGAACTATGGTGCCAGAACTGGACAGATCTGACCAAGGAAAAATAGTCTAGAAAAATTACTTCCCATGATGTGGAATGTATGCTTCCTTTAATGAATCCCAAGAAAGCAGTTTGCCTTTTTAGTAGTTTCATCATACTTCTGGCTCATGCTTAACATGTGGTCAAGAAGAACACCTAGATCCCTTTCACATAATACTACTGCCACACCAGGTCCCCCCATCCTATATTTGTGCCTTACACTTTTCCTCTCTTACACTTTTCCTAGATGCCAAACTCTGTTTCTCCATCTTAAATTCCATCCTATTCATTTCAGTCCACTGCTCAAGCCTGTCTAGGATTTTCTGAATATTTTCTCAGATATTAACAACCCCCCCCCCCCCCCCCCCCCC